AGTTACAAATCCTATTGATGTGATCAAGACACGAATGCAGCTGGAAAATGAATTAGGTTCCCAACATGAGAGCAGAAACATATTTCATAATCGCTATTATCGTGGTTTGATAAGAGGAGCAGTAAGGATTGCTCAAGAAGAAGGATTACGTGGTCTTTACAAAGGGTAAGTCCTGTTCACCAGAACATCCAGAGATTCAGCTGTGGCTGAAAACTGGCTTAAAGTGTCAGCTCGTTTTGTCTTTGTGTAAACTAAAAGGTAAAGTCTGCATAGGAGCCAAGTGGCACATCAGAACAGAGCTTATCCCGGTTTCTGTAGCATGAAGTGACTATGAGTATTTCTACTCCCCCCTGGATGGGATGCTAGTCCATCTTAAGGTTACCCCCGGGATTAAAGTTGCCGGTACCCATTTGTACAATGTACACCTGGGTGGACAGGGGCACTGTGAGAGTTAAGTGTCCTGCCCAAGAACACAACACAATGTCCCTGGCCAGGGCTTGAACCCGGACCACTCAATGACAATCCGGGGTCAACTGCACTAACCACGAGGCCACTGTGCCTCCACCCTTGTTTTGTCTAAACTAGTTGTAAATTTAACTGCCTTGGTGATCTATTTGCTCTGTGGTGGCAATGAGCCACAGAAATTAACACTTTCCCACTGTCTCAGTCAAGTCTCAATCCTTTTAGGTGACTAGAAGTTGTAGGTTAATATGTGGTGTAGTTCAGAAAGCCACTTGCCCAGCTTTGTTCACCGTGGTGAGGAATGTGTCATGAAAATATTTTACAGTTGAATAGACAGTTGAAAAAATTAGAGCTTCAAGTATACAACCCTTAAGACAGTCTGGTGCAAAAACATTCCAGACTTGAATCCTAATTTGTGTAAGGCAGAGGTCAGAATGGATCACATAGAGGTTTTGTACATGAACCATGAAAATGTTTTGTGTTATACTGCACATAAAATAAGGAGACGCGATGGCCTCATGGTTAGTGCACTTGCCTCCGGATCGAGAGGTCCAGGTTCAAGTCCTGGTCGTGGTCATTTTGTTGTGTTCTTGGGCAAGAAACATTACTCTCACAGTGCCTCTCTCCACCCAGGTGAAGAAATGCATACCAGCGAAAAATAGTTTGTCATAGATGTTTTATATCACTTTACATACACATACATGTACATTTAAACTTACTAATCTACTACTTTCAACTATAGACTATAAAATTTAACCCTAGTAAAGCAATACTTACTGTGAATTTTTTTTTCTTTTGCTGTATTTAATGTCTACATGCAGCCCTGCGGTTAGAAATTCAAGTTATCCTTCTACATTATTCCTAGGCTTCATGTATTTTACAATGTTGATCCTTGCACACCAGAGACTACAATTCAAGTGAACATATGAAAGATCATATATTTGAACTGTGGAGAGAAATATGAAGACATGATTGATCATTGCAGTTATATACACAGCTGAAGCACCTGTGAAATTAAAGTCTGAAAAAAAATTCAGGCTTGGAATGGGTTTGGAACCCATGACCTTTGCGATACTGGTGCACTGCTCTACCAACTGAGCTATCAAGCCAGCTGGGAGCTGGT